TTTCACAAAGTCGTTAGAAGACTCAATGCTTATTACAATCATACTAACAGTTTAACTGCTTAATATCCAGGAGTAAAGAAGATTTTTATACAGATTGCATTATATTTAGTTGTTTTGGCCGTAGGGGGCAGAGACCATGAAATTCACATTTTTTGTTCCCTTTTAAGGAGGCTGGGGGTCAAGATGATTTTTTATTAACCACCATATATAACTAATTTTTTTAGATATGATATCTTTAGCTGTCAACTATCATTTGGCAAAGAAAAATTTCATAAATTTTAGTTTTAAAATGTGATCATATTATTATGTCTTTATATGGAGCTCTTCTTCTAAAGGAGATCAAAATAGTCTAAAAGTGGTCACGACCACCCAGCCTCTTTAATCATGCTTTATACAAAATTGGTTGAGCGATTGCATAAAAGCTGAAAATGTTAAAGAATCTGTGAAAGTACTATTAATTTTTATTTAGTGATATAGGAGGAGTTGCAGATAAGAGATGAGTATCCTTCAATATTGTAGAAAGAAGGGCAGTGTCCATGTTTTGCTATGGGAAACCCAAAACATGTGTCGGATCAATAAGTAAAATAGGAGGTGCACAATGGCACTACATGTATGAAACAAAGATTCTGTTTCATTTTTTCATTCAGTGATCTAACAGTAGTTGCAATAAGAGATGGGTACCCCATAGCGAAAGAGACGGACGGACTGACGTACAGACATCCCGATCACTGTATACCCTCCCACTTTTCAAGCGACAGGTATAAATAGATCTTAAATCACTTCTTTGTAACTAGTAACAAATTTCATTAAAAAATAATAAATTATTACACCCCCGCTTGAAAAGTGGGAGGGTATATAGTAATCGGTATTTCCGTCCGTCTGTTAGTTTTGGGGTACCCATCTCTTATCCGCAACTCCTCTCATACCACTGAAGGAAATTTAATGAAACTTTCACAGATTCTTAAATACATATTGCCATTGTGCACCTCCTATTTTACTTTTTGATCTGACATATATTTTTGATTTTCCAGAGCAAAACATGGACACTGTCATTATATTCATATGGGAGGCGGGGGGTATCATTTAGTGAGCTCATTGCTCACAGTACCTCTAGTTTCTAGGATTATACCAGTAGAAGAATTAACAGAGGAAAAGCCTGTCAAGTTGTGGCATGAAACAACATAGACTTGAATTGTTCATACAGCACATTATTAAAAATTTGGCATTGAAAAAGAATTTGGATTTAATTCCACAAGCGAGAATCTTACTTGTACCAATAGTTATTCACCATCTGGAGAAGCAATTCTTAAAAGTCGTGTCACTTTCAAATATTTTTAACATTCCAGATAGCTAAATTGAATTTGAATTACAATACCTGAAGTTAATACATAAAACTGCATCAAAATCCTTATCAACGTTTATTAGATACATATCGGGTTCCATTTAATGTTCTACCCAGCTTCTTTGTTTACTCTAAACGAAAATGTTGACAGCAGCGATGGATGACCTTCAAAATGTATTTACATCATTCTAGCATTTGGAAATAGTGTTTTTGTGGATGATTAAAAACTCCAAGACACTTAACTTTAATAAAATTCGAAATCAAAAACATTTACAAAACCAATATATCACAAATGTAGAATTAATAACACTTTATATAACTATATTTTAGATCAGGCTTTCTGGCATTGAAGGCAATTGCTAATTTGAAAACATTTTGACGGTCATAGGAAAATCTTTTTTGTTTAAAAAGATTTTAAGCACATTTTGATGTTGATATTCAATCTATACCTTTCCTTTTAACATAATGCCAATAAGCGTTTTTGAGATCTGAACCCAGGATCATGAAACAGATTAAACTTAAGTCAAATTTTCAATCGCCTGTAAAATGTTTATTATTTATCGAATTAACCTCAAAATCTGCAAATAGCAACACTTATATTAATCAATATTGAAACATTTGCTTGAGATCCACAACAAGATGTTGACTTAAGCTTAAGGTGTTTCATGATCCCGGGGATAGAATTTTCAGTAATTTGTTGGAATTCCCATAGGAACTAATTGTGCCTCGTTAAAACCAGATCTGTTCTTGTAATCTTTTCAAGTTGAATTTAATCAAACACTTGTTCGTTTCCATTACTAGTTGATTCGATATGTCCCGTCGAACTCGAAATAAAAGATACCTCTCAGTATAGCACATCTTTTTTATATCTGAATATTTTACTAGCTATAGAATATGACATTGGTGGCAAACAACGAAACAGAATGATATACGTCGCGAGATGATTTCATCTTATCTATTATAATCTTCAACTTCCTTTATAAAGAAAAATGTAGAAATATACCATTTTCACCTGCATGTGGAAGTAAATGTTTCCAAGCTGAAAGCAAGAGCCTGCACTACATATGACAATTTTGTGAAATACTAGTAACAATTTGTGTTTACCGTATCCCATATAAGCTATTAATTCCAACATTCATTGAATTTGGCTTATAGAATCCAGATAAGAAATTGAAGTGTTGACTGAAGTATTAAGAGAATGCTGTTGGGTGAATGCAGATAACTATAGGTGACCTGTGTTACTCGGAGTTCTCGCAGTAAATATTTACATTGGTTCTACAGGGACGCTTTTAATCAGGGGTTCTTCCATTTAGTCTTTTCTTCATGTGGTCAGAAATACCCTAATAAAAGCAAATCATCCATCATGTTTACTGGTTGTACAGACCTTAAAACTAGCTACAACACCACTTGCACGGTTTGTTTCGTTTCTTGTAAGGTACGTTTCGATATGTGTACGGTTTGTTTCGTTTTGTTAACGGTACATGTACGTGTATGTTTCGTTTTGTGTATTGTTTGTGAAAGTACTCTTTGTGGACAGTATACAAATTAAAAGGGAGAAGTTTGTATGATTTAGTATGATTTGCTATTTAATTAGGTTTTTTTTTATTATTGTGGCCCCTTTCGATGAAGGGAGGGCATATTGCTTTGCTTCTGTCTGTCGGTCATTCATCAGTTTCCGTTTATTTTAGAGGTTACAAATATTGAAATGAAATTTGGTATAGAGATTTATCATGAAAACATCTAGGTTAAGTTCTGTTTTGGGTAGGATCGAGCCTTTTTGGACAGAGTTTTGCCCCTCGCTTGGTTCATTTTCTTTGCAGAAAGTTGCACATATTGTGAGCAATGAGCTCACTAAATGATACCCCCCCCCCCCGCCTCCCATATGAATATAATGGCAGTGTCCATCTTTTGCTATGGGTAACCCAAAAAATGTGTCGGATCAAAAAGTACAATAGGAGTTGCACTTTGTCAATGGCAATATGTAATAAAGATTCTGTGAAGGTTTCATCAAATTCATTCAGTGATATGAGAGAAGTTGCGAATAATAGATTGGTACCCAAAAGCGTAACTGACAGACGGACGGACGGACATACCGATTACTATATATCCTCCCGCTTTTCGAGCGGGGGGTATGATAAACAATGCAAAGACCCATAGTCATTCTCATGACGGGATCAGGTGCAAAGGAGGATCAGGCATCCCCTATTGACCGGTCAAACCTGACGTTAACCCTACACTTTGATAAAGTAGAAGGAACATTCTTTACTACAAAAAACCAAACAAAAAAAAAAACCAATCCAAATCTTGTAATTAATATAACATACATTGATTGTCTGAATATTTAACTCGCACGCACTTTCGTAATTTAAATAAGCAACAATGACGCGCGTTTATAAAATTAACTATGTTGTCTTGAAAAATATTTTCTACGGGGTAAATATGGCAGATTTTCTTTTTACGGAAAATAAAAGCAACGTGCTCAGAATTTACACCTTTATATGATTTAATTTTCTCAGTGTCCGAAACCATTCTCCAATATTGTATATGCCTGTATATAAAAAATGTCCTTAATGAAAAACACAAATCTAGGTCTTGGTAAAAATACCAGACCTAAGCTCTTGTATGTTTGATAATTATAAATTTGAAATTTAACACAAATCACTGCCTTTCCACATTCTGGGGATGTGTATTTATTTTTATAGAAAAATTATGCATAAGTATAAAAATTAACGCTAAAAGATTAGACAGTTGGAACGGATATTAACCCGATGAACTTAGATTGATTTATATATCGGTGCTATCATTTTTTTTTTTAATAATAAATATAGGAGGGTGCAACTTGGAAAAAAAACTCCTGAATAGAAAAAAAGTTAACTTTGTTAATGTTCGTTTGTTCGGCTATACCTCTATGTTTATAGGTGCCCATTAGTATTTATAGTGAGAAAGTTCTCATATTCTGGATAGCCATTAATGTTCTGCAGACCAAAGCAAACATGATTCTTTCATTATTTGTACGACGTTTAGACAATGTACAAAATGTTGTGAATATTAACTTTATTCCAGGCGGTACAAGTTTGGATAAGGACAGGCAATGTAAGTAAAATAAGATTTTAAAGCAATTTTTCTTCAAATTCATATAAAGTAATTTTATAACTGTCCCAGTTAAAACTTGGAAGAAGCATTGCATGAATGCGTGATTTTATGACATCAAACACGTCTTAAGTTGATTTCACTTTAAATTTCATTCTTTTCAACTTATTTCATTAGCAAGCAGAAAATGCAACCTATATCATTCCTTATTTGAATATGTATATAATCATTTAATTTTTTCATTTCATGTGAAAAAAAGAAAATTGTTTACAAAAAAGATTCAACAGATTTTTAAATGACCTTTACGAGAACAAGCACGTGTGTTAAAAACGTATCTTGAACTCATTTTGAGCATATTACACAAAGATAAAAACGTGAAGATGTCACGTGTTCTTTTTACACCCAAAGGATCAATTGTCCATATCTTAGGGTCGTGCATGACCAGCGGGAAAAAATCTTAAAATCGGTAGTTCATCCCAACCATTCTGATGCTTTTTTTTTCTTCTCCAAAATACTCAAAAAAAAGTATATGATTTGCTTTTTAAATAGAGAAAGAAATCTGTAGGAAATGTATCAAGCTAGTAAAAGATTGCAGGCAATTCGCCGACAACTGAAACAAATGGATGAACAGTATAGAAATGCTATAGATGAATTTGAACCTGTAACAACAGCAGAATCGCAAGTCTGTTCTGAGAAAAGGATTGATAATGCACATAAGGTAATTTTTTTGCTCAGTAGTTTGCTTTCTTGTTTTTAAAAAATAAGTTTTGTTGATATCTTGAAGAGAATATAAACTCGATATCAAACATTCGCAGCATTTAATCGCACTTTGAAAACGTTTATGTATGCATCTACATCTACATTTTTTCCCGAGACTTAATTTATCAAGCCTAAATATTACGAGACGTATACTGAAAATTGAGACTTTTCAATTGTCGTCGTAGCATGCTGATTAATTAATTGAATGAAATAAATATTTTGAAATTTCCTTATAAATCGAATGGTATTCTTTAATTACATTGAGTTGATTGGGTTTTAAACTAAACAAAAGGTTTTGGAATCTATCTGCAATAATCTTATTCAGAACTATTTTCTTAAATTAATCTACCTCTGAAGATAAATATATTGATGAAGAAATTACTAATTGTACGAGTATGTGATTATTTGGTTTGAACTTTATCTTGAAAATTCTTGTAAGTATTATATTCTAAGAAAACAGTGCATCAAACAATATTACATGTATGTTTAAAAAAACCAAGTGTCTTTGAATTAAATATAAGTGTGCAGAATGTCAAATGTGGAAGGTGGCGATAACGAAAAGTCATCATTCTCAAGCAACACAATCGTTAACAGAAATAGAATCAGATAAATAGGAGGAATATGTATACCCAAAGAAAAGAATTTATTCATTGCAGCACAAAGAAGATAATAGATACTCGTAGAACTTCACAAGTTTGTAGCCCATATTCTGTATGTTTAGATTTAATTAATAAAACAGAGAGAATTAAATCGCTCCAAACATGCACATGATGATGTAACTGTAAACATATTTATATGTGTGTAATGAATTAAGACTACATTAATTATCATGCATAATTGTGCATTATGTACATGTGTTTTAATATCTGATGTGCCATAGGGCATATGTAAAATAAAGCTGGACCGATTATGCTTATTGTGTTACCTCCCTTGTAATGTGTAAAATGTTTAACATTAACAATCATGGTTACTCAGAATAATGACTGACAGACAGCTATAAATGTATCATTAGTCCATAAACAGGCAATCACCTTGAAAATTCGAGGGCATGAGAACTCTTTGATAAGATGTCGTCTAGCGATTAAGGACAAGCGTACCGAATATGTACAAAAACTCTGCCATGTTCCTTTCCCTCTGATCTTTGTCATAGATATTCTCAATTAAAAATCAAAGTAGCAAAAGAAGCTGATACACAGAAAGTCAGCATACATTACCAGTAGATTTGACAAGATGTAAAAGACGGCCATAGACCGACGTAAAATCCATACTCTAAAAATAGATAATCTCATTGAGGTATATAGAGTGAGGATTCTCAAAAATCAGTATAGTAAAAGACATGGTAAACGAACACTGTTCACATAGAACACTTTCACATTCATAATCATAGTTAATTATTTTAAGGTTTTTCTTATAAATATAAATAATAAATATAGTTGAGGTGATGTTAAGTATAAGTTGGTAAACTTTTCCCTATTTGCTCCAGGAGATCAGAGATTAAAAAAAGGACAGAAAAGAACTTTTAGTGGGGGCACGCTGGTTTATTACAATAACAGTGTTCGAAGTTTACACTTTGAGCAACTTAGAACTTAATACTTAGAACTTACTAGTACTGTCCTTGTACTATTTGAAAATTTTAACAAGTCATATTTGGGAATGTGTTGTAATCAAATTGAACTTGTCTTTCTTTGCTGCCATACATGTATGTCGGCCTGAAGTTTCTAAAAAATTGAAATAATCGTCTATTAAAACAATAATTGTGTTGACTTTACAAAGCTGTAATTTGATATGATGTTTCTGAAAAAGAGTTCCTAAATATTATATTGTGATGTTATAATTGTCACAAGGTAACAATGTCTTTAATATTGGTTTACTCTATGTTAAAGCAAATTAGCAAATTATATATCTCGTAAATTGATAAAAACAAGATATGTTTGTGAAACACTATGCGTCCGGCGGTAACAAAGTTCGAAAAAGCTATTTTAAGCATATAGGTCACAGTCAAGGTCACAAGGTCATTGACCTTGGTGTCATTTGAAAGAAAATTAGTGGACTATGCATATCAAATATGAAGTCTCTATCTCCTATGGTTCAAAAGTTATGGCGAAGGTTAAAGTTGACATCAGACAGACAAACAGCTAAACAGACAGACAAGACAAAACAACAATATACGCCCCTCATCTATCGATGCGGGCGCATAAATATTACAAAAGAAAACTTAATAATTGGCTCATTCTTTGAACTATCCTATCCGTTCAAAGGTAAGAGGAGGACATTAAACATGTCACTAATTTTATTTCTGTGGGAAAAGTACATTTCTTTTCATTACTTTAAAATTGTTGTCCTGCTGGTCTATCCAGATATATCGACTTCACAGCAAAGCTTATATCGACCAAGCAATTCATAGCCTCATGAGAGGTTTATTTGTATAAACGAGGGCTGTTCAATAAATAATGTCCTGAACTGTATGACATACAATACAGATATCATATGACATTAAGCTTGACTATCTTTCATTATTGAATCTTAAATGAATATATAACATCTTATGTGACCACTTTTCATCACATAGTTTCATTGTGAGAAGCTGGAAAACAAGGGCTATTCGAGACACTGCATTATAAATGAATATAGTAAAGAATCGGTAAACTAGAGTGAAAACAAGCTAATTCAGAAAGCTGCTGTCCCCCGCTTGTTAAAAAGTCCTCCCCCTGACTGAATTTGTAGAATTATTAAATGTATACATGTAAATTTACAGGAAATAAAATACATGTATGTCAATATTCATACAAAGATTTGATTGCTTATTCTTTATTATGTGTAAAAATTTTTTTTGGGCATATGGAATATTTATCACACTGTAATGATGATTTTATAAGTATGCACAAGCCAGACCTTATAAATTTTTCATTTCACATGCTTAAAACTCATTTAATAAAAAAAAATAAAAAAAAAATGAACGGTTCTGGAGTAGTTTACACTGTTTTTGAATATATTCGAGAGACATAACCACTATATTACGGAGTCGCCTTATATACAAATTATATGCAGAACTGAAGTCACATACATGTATATATTCATGTTTTCATATTCGGTATTCTCAAAATTTTACACAATCCGTAGTGTTTGATTTATTTAGCCTTTATTAAACAGTTCTAATAGATGTAATAAGAAAATTAATGTAAAACCTTTTTATACGCAATAACTCTCCTCAAAATAAGTTAAAAATAGCGACATGTAATACTATAAATACTAATAAAACAAACGGGGCGGGGCACTTTGAGAGGGGCTTTTTCGTCCTAGGGAGTTTTGATAAAATTACATTGCATAAGCTCAAAATCTTCTTGAAATATCGCCTGGAAATGATAGTATTACATACAGACAGAATGTATAAATTTACGACCTTGAACTTTGACCTTTTGACCTCAAAATCAATAGGGGTCTTCATTAGGCCACAGGGAGTTGTTATATAAAATTTCATTGCAATAGCTCAAATAGTTCTCGAGATATCGTGTGGAAACGAAAGTGTTTTAACATACAGAATTTGCTTATTTATGACCTTGACCTTTGACATTTTGACCTCAAAATCAATAGGGGTCTTCTTTAGTCCATAGGGAGTTGCTATGCTAAATTTCATTGCAAAAGCTCAAAGGGTTCTCGAGATATCGTGTGGAAACTAATTACAGACAGACAAAAGACGGACGGACGGACATCATTACTTCGGACGGCAAAACCCAAATTAATATCCCCCACTTTTCAAGCGGGGGACAATAAAAGCTTCATTAAAGCTGCTGTAAAACTTGTTAAAATTCCCAAAGAAATATTCACTGAAATATCTGAAATTTACAGCAGTCAATGCCTGTTTTATAGACAAATGAGCAGGTGGATTTCAATGATGAAAAATTATGTAATGGGCATCAAAAATGGGTACCGTCCTTGCCAAAAAGAAAAATAACAACTTATGTACTGTTTGCCAAGTTTCAACAAATAATATTTGATGATGTATGATTGACTTTAAGACACATAGCCAACTTGATAGACATCACTTCTGGAGTAGTTTACACTGTTTTTAAGAAACGTTTGACGGTAAAAAAGCTTAGTACTCAAAGGTCACTCTATATTTAAAAAAATGAGTGAAAAGACAGCCTGTACGAATGTCTTCATAATTATTTCAAAATATCAGTAATTGTAGTTATTCATGTTTGTCTGAAATTCAAACAGATAATGAAACTTGAATTTATTGCTTCAAAACAAAATTTACCATAAGATGTACTGGACAAAAACAGCGAAGTTCTGAAAAGAGCAAAGAATTGCAAGAGCACAAAGACAGATTTATATGCAATTTTCTTCAATATTAGTGGTATTGTTGTTCAAATTCGTATTCGGGGAGACAGTTTAATTTCTGGAGGAGTCTAGAAAACAAATTTTGTGCAAAAAAATCTAAAGGTTTATTAGAGGAAGGACCCATAATCAGGAATCCACTACATTAAATTTCTTCATGACGGCGTCCACAGGTACTTGTGGAGACAGGACAAAAAAAAAGAAAAAAAAATATTTTGACCAGGGGTGTATGGGGGGGGGGTGGGTGGGTCTTGCCACAAGTACCTGTGGACGGCGTCCAAACCTGCACGCTCTGAAGAGTACAAGAGTTTTGGGGATAAACAGAAAGTTAATGTTTTTCCACATTAACACTATTCGCCAGATCTTTGACCTTTTGACTTGTTTCTATTTCCAAACTTAGAAAAACACCTTTCAGAAGGAAGAAACAAGTCAAGGAAATCATAGGATCTGCCGTTTTCCAGTATACTAAATGACATACCCAAAAATGAGTTCTAAAAACAATTAGAACCTAACCCGCTTTTTCCTCCAATCAGCAGCTGCTAAATTTTCTATTAAGTTGCTCACTTAATTGTTAAGATTTTATGTCTATGTAGTAACTCCGCGAGCTGACTAATTAGCCAATGAAAAAGCGCGATTAGGTTCTAAGTAAGTTAGATCATATTAAGTAAAATTTTAGTGGTTAAGAAGGGGGCTCGGTCGCTTCGCTCCCTCCGCCCCTTCTTAACCACTAAAATTTTACTTAATATGATCTAACTATTACTTGGAAATTGGATAAAAATTTTTACGGACGTGATTTAATTAGAAGAGAATATTAAGTTAAATCGTTATGACTAAATCATTGAAAAGCGTCTTTTGCTTACTTTCGGAGCACCGAGGACATTACTTATTGAACTGCCCTCGTAATAAATTCATGTATGTATATAATTTTTTTTAACAATTATATAAATGTTAGTGTCTTTTTAGCACACCTCCCAACGATAGGCCCCACATTCATGGAAAAGTTGTCTAGATTATTAAACTATCAAGGCAATCAAGGCAAATTTATATATACCGACGGTCTACAGTGACAGCACCATCACTATTACCATAGTTGTTGTCCATAAAGTTTTGCTCTACCCAGGGAGTCGATCAAAAAGATTTCGCTAAGAAAATTCACATTTCAATTCATTGTTGTATAATATGTCTAGTGATATTTTCAATTTTTCCTTCTGTATTTAAATTATCTAGAGTCTCTTAAGGCGCAATTACTACATATAAATCAAACTGAACTGCTCTCCGTTGCACCATAACGTCATCAAACGTCGCCATCTTTCGTCTGTTGTATTTACCAACTTCCTATTTCAAATACCCGGGAAACTGCCAAAGTACTCAAAGCTTTTTGATCTGTCATGTTGTAAATTTTGAATTTTGAATACAAAATTTACAACGGTAACAAGCGTAACTTTGCGTTTTTTTTTATTTATATAGTTTAAACTGTACAGGCAAATGTATCGAGGGGACAAATAAGCTTCGTTTTGTTTTGTAATGTATAATATAGAAATGCATTTGGTTTGTCCGCACCCCCTCCGGTCTTGCTTTCTATTTGCATTAATAAGAGCTAGAGTCTCACCAAAATATTACATCAGGGTACACGTCTACTTTAATAAATAAAATGCGTAAAATTCATGTTTAATTTCAGACTGATCGAGTACTATGATTTTTTTAATGAATTTTTAACCTTAGCTCTCCTCTGATTTCAGATTGATGAAGCTAGAGGTTCCAGTGTTGGCTACTCTACTGCTATGAATGTTGACAGCCAAGAAGAACAGGTATCTAGCAGCATGAATATCGGAGCGGATCTAGAATGTTTCGTGGATTGTTCCAGCAGTGAAGTTGCTGGAATCCCCCTGTCAGAAGAGCTTCGGTGCGCAATTTCAAACATGGAGGACCTAGACGACGTATGTTGTATTTTTCGTTTTTATATTTTGTCGTAATTGTTTAAAAATATCATGTCACTCAAAGAGTTTCAAATAAAGACAGATTTCGATTCAACAGTTAAGCTTTACGAAAGGTTCAACCATGCTACCACATGTATATATGTGCAACAACCAGTGTAAACTTAAGAAGGCTCAACTACTACGTGCGACGTTAAATATTCACAACAATTATAAATTGTCTAGATGTGTAACATTTTTACAGAACAATGAAGTCAAAATGCTTAAATTAAAAATTCATAAAATGCATAAAAATGTTTTCAGATGAAAAATACCATCAATTGATTTAAAAAAAAAAAAAAAAACCTTTGTTATTTTTTATGAAATCAAAAGCTGAAGATGCATTTCATATTTTGCATATAACAGTTTCCTTGCGATATATTTAGTATATTTTTATTTTAGATTTGCAGTAAAACTTTGCACTTTTTGTCAAGAAGACTTTAAATTTTGTTAAAGAAATAAGGGTCATGAATTTCTTTTAACCCCCCCCCCCCCCTAAAGAAAAAAAAAACAAACAAAAACATAAAACAACACTTCACAACTTTAAGGCTAAAAACTCAAAGTTTAATGTTGACCTTTGATTTCCTTCTACATCTCCATATTTTTTTTCAATTCTTCAATCGTCTTCCTATTTTCGTATGCGAGGGCACAAATTCTGCCTAAACTTGTTCTATGTAAGAAATTTTTTTTTTGCAGGTAGAAAATCTAATAGGTAACATGATGAGCTCTGTACAGGTCGACACATCTTATGACGAGGACCTGGAATCGGTAGTGGAACAAACAGGTAGTTTAGTGGTAAGTAAACCACAGTGAAGAGCTACTACAATGTTATTAGGTACATGTAAATCGATTGACCTGATAAGGCGCCAAAGTAAAGATACATGTATGTGCCAGGACTGATGATTACTGAGCAAGTTTAAAAAGTGAAAATATTAAATTCAAAAATATAATGTCTTTAACGAATTTTACACTTTAAAAATTGTCTTTGGTGTACGAATAGTTGAAGTTTATTTTTTTGTTACGATGCTTTTGTAATTATTGAAATTTAATGCATCTATAAAACATGTGATAAAATTTTAACTGAATTCAAGCTTCCAATGACAAATAATCTCCTCGTAATTAATTATTACCATTTTTATTATTTTAATTTGGGGGAAGACGGGTCAAATCTTTAAATTCAGGTTATTCTAAACGTGAAAACTAAGTGCATTTAATTTAATGCCTCTTTCATCTCTTAATGAGGCTTGGGGTCAACAAATTATTTTTTTTTTAATTAACCACAAGATATAACTTAAATTTTGGGATATGATATCTTAAGCTGTCAACTATCATTTGGCCAAAAAAAAAAATTCATAAATTTTAGCTTTAAAATTTAATCATTTTATTATATCTTCATATGGAGCTCTTCTTCTAATAGAGATCAAAATAGTCTAAAATGGCCACAACCACCCAGCCCCTTTAACGCGTATTTTTTTCCAATACTTATTCCCCTCAAACCAAGACGACCGGTCATGCGGTACAAATTAAAAAGCTTGACGTGTTGTGGGATAATTGTTGTCAATACATTCAATCACGAAACGTCAGGTAGCATCAGATAGTCTGTCAGCAGATGTAGATAGCCTGTCAATCAAATTAGTAGTTAATGTTTTATTATGATTGACAAGGGGTTATATATTGATATTGGTCTTGAATTGCTGCAATTCGACAGCTCAGAGTAGGAGAAACGAAATAATGTCCAATACATTAAATGTTAAATTTACGGCTAAATTATAACAATGCTACATGCGTAAAAATATAGCAGACAATTATGAATAACATTGACGATTAAATCGTAACAAGCCTAAATTTAATATCTTTCATTATAAAATATATGGAGATAACGAAATTATTCAAGCTCAAGAGTCCATTAAACAATACAAAACAGGAGCAGAGCAAACACGGACCCCCGAAACATCAAAGGTGGGATCAGGTGCCATGGAGGAGTGAGCATCCCCTTCTGAACGGCATATATCTTCTTTATTTTTACATTTTAATAACTGAAAGAGAGAGTTATTATATATTTCTAATATTACATTGTTTGATTTTAATAGAATGCCTCCAGCACTGATATTCATCATACGTCTGACCCAAACAATGAAGTTGAGAATCCTGCACAAGGAAATAGAATGTTCAGTTCAATCAGAGAGGAGGAAAATTGGAAGAAAGAAAGAAAAAAGAAGGACAACCATAATATTAGTAAGTATAAAAGTAAATCTAAAACTACGCAAATGATAATTTTTTTTTTTATAAAATACGTATATATTTTGAACAATACAATGTATGTATAAAATAGACGTACAAATAGATTCAACATTATATTAAGGATTTTTTTTTGCATAAAAACTTCATCCTCAGGTAGTTAAAATTCAAGGGAAAAAATGAATCTCAATTTATAACTCAATGTCATAAAATCAAACTATTTATACCATTTGATTTAGAATATCAGACGAAGCCAGAAAATGTTCATTCATGTATACTGAATTGTCGAATAATTTCTGTCCTTATTCTTTCATACGAATACCTTTAGTGTTGTCGAAAAACTACTGTACAGTCAGGAAACGTGTATATTACAGGTTTCTTGTCAAATCGAATATAGATATATGCAACGATTTTTTGTTAACAGCGCATAATACAAGTAACCAATTCCATAAATAATATTCAAGGAAATCGTAATTCATGTCAAGCTTCCATCAATTGTGACTTAACAGTCATAACGTAAGGTTTTGCTTACAAAAGTCAAACAAACTCTTCAAATGCTAGACGAGCTTTAAACACGTAAAACAACGAAGCTCTATGATAAACGTGATGACTTTAACTCTTCTATCGTCAATTTCCCTTACTTATGCAGCAATATACCTTCATCACCTGCATACGGAGTTTATACATGTATATCTCAGTTGATTCGATACGCAAGAGCATGCTCTACGTATGAACAATTTATAAAACGAGACAAATTTTTGACAAACAAGTTTATGAAACAAGAATATCAGCAGTCTCGTTTAAAGTCATCATTTCGTAAGTTCTATATATGGTCGATACAATGACCTTGTCAGCAAATACAATTGATCATTGAATCAAATGCTGACTGACTTTTTTCATACTACATGTAATTATAAGTCCATTATTATACACTGAATTGACGACGGATTTTTCCGTTATTTCCTGATCATAACAAGGATCATACGGCGGGTGTTATCGGTCGGCAGAGGATGCTCACTCTTCCATGGCACTTTATTCCACCTCCAATGTTTTGGAGGTCCATGTTTGCTCTGCTTTTTTGTATTGTTTTATTGACTTTTGATATCGAATACTGTTCGTTATCTCCATATGTTTCATCCTTTAGGACAAAGGGCAACTTATATCTCTAATATTTCAAAATCTTCTTCTCAAGAACCACTGGGCCAGAAAAAGTGAAGCTTATGTGGAAGCATTCTGGGGTAGTGTAAATTCAAAGCGATGGATTTCAAAATGTCTAAATTATGATCAGTGTGGGGATGCATTATGTATAACAACGGGGAAATCTGGTAAAGAACAGAATGGTTAAAGCTTCTCAGGTGAGCGATGTGGCCCATGGGCCTCTTGTTTCATACTACATGTAATTATAAGCCCATTATTATACACTGAATTGACGACGGATTTTTCCGTTATTCCCTGATCATAACAAGGATCATACGGCTTTCAAAATCTAATATTTCAAAGCGAAGTCACTTTCAAAATCTATGTACACTAATAATGAAATCGATCGCAGGTTATGCAAAACAACTTATTATCTTGATTTCGTTTTGCAATATTCAAACACCATTCCCATTCCCGTTTCAGTTGAAAGGCGGCGTCGATATAACATAAACGACAGAATCAAGGAACTGGCCACTCTTCTTCCAGCAAGCATTCCTCAGTAAGATGACGTTTTTTAATTTGTAGAATATGTTGGCATTTTAAAGAAAGTGTTATTTTATTCTTGAACTTTTCAGGACGATAATGTCTGCCATTTGTGTTATTGTGTCCAGAAGCCAGGCCTAATTTTGACAACCCAAATTACAATAAATGGCCTCTGCACAACGAGTTTTCATCCCGTGTTTTAGTTTTTGGCTTAACTTCGAAATATTGCAGATTATATTAATATTCAATTTTATTTGTCACTTGATTACGGCAAGAGTGATTTTTTTTATTGTAAAAATTCTTAAATTTATAAAATTTGGTCACAAAAGTGAATGGATGTAGTTAATTAAGAATACACCTATTTACAGTGACCTAAAGCAAAATAAAGGGTCCATTTTGAAAGCATCGGTGGAATATATGAAGGAACTCATGAAGGACAAGCACGCTTTGAAAAAGTTGGAGGAAAACCAAAAGGCCATGAATTTAAAATATCAAAAACTGCTCATCAAAATTTTTGTAAGGAACTATTAAAAACTAATTTAGTAAAATGTATTAATGGTAGAGAAAATCTACCTAAAACTGCATAACTTAAAAGTGGTGATGACCACTTGAACTCATTTTTTGCAGTTTTTACAGTAATACAATTTTTTCAATTCTTCTTAAAGGGGCATGGACACAGTTTCAGCTAAAATTTCAATATCTATTTTTTTCATTTTTACAAATATTCAACTAGGGTCTTTCTAATGATCATCGAAAATTTGAACGTCAGTTGTCGAAATACAAGACAGATTTAGAGCTCCAAACCTTTGTTATGTAAACAAAGACCGTGTCATGTTTTTGTTTACATAGATTAATATACTAATATATGTGTCTTGTTTTTGTTTACATAGGTTAATATACTAATATATGTTCGTTCAAAGTAGATAATATCAATAAAAAGTTAATTTCAAATTCGATTTGTCAGTTTCTATTGATTTTGTTATAAATATATTTTGAATTTATTTTCTATATGTAAACAAAAACAAGGCACGAGCCTTGTTTACATTAGAAAGAACTGTATAAAGTTCTGTATCTCGTTTGTTTATCAACAAATGATGTTCAAATTTTTGCTAATAATTATATGATGCCTTAGATAGGAATTGTAAACATTAAAATTGGTTAAAAAAATTCAGTTGAAACTGTCCATGCCCCTTTAAATGATTCATACGACATACATGTAGTTTTAAAAAATACGACTGGATAACTTTGATACAATGTATACATTTTAATTCAACTGTATATATGAAAGTAATGCACTTAAAATTATTGAGGATTCTAATATATCGGTAAATTTTATTTTAGCAACTGGAATTAAAATTGAAATTGTATGGCCTATCGGAGGATTTGGAACATTCCAGGGTCAAAAAGAAAAAGAAGCCACAGAAACGTATATCTGAAATAAACACTATGGTAGAAGACCTTGTCAAACAAGGCATGCCAGAATTACTCGAACAGACTCCAAATATTTCAATACCCCCTTGCAAGAAGACCAAGAACGAAGGTTGGCTGAGCAATGACGACCAAAAGGTCATTCCATCAGTAAAGATAGGTTTACGACAACACCTGAACAAGAGAATGTCTACAGGAGGGCAAATCTGTCAACAAACTAATGACAACATGTTTTATGTTAAATCCACTAATGCTCAGCATTTACAAAAACAGAAAAAAGAAAAAATCTCCGCGCCATCTCATTCTTTTGACAGAAGCACAGATAGAGCTGATGAACTTCATGACTCCGTATCATTTGAGTATATACTAAAGAAGGACAGTGTCAACAATTCCGGTGGAAACGATGAGGAAGAAATCCTGGAATTGTCAACAGAACAATGCAGCATCTTGCTTGATCTGTTCGAAAACAACCCAAGCGGAAAAGCACCTGAATTGAATACGGATTGTTTGTCTAATCCGGACAATGCTTCAGCTAGGGAAGAGTGCATATCGCCATTAACTTCAACGTGCAACATGTTGGAAAGTTTGCTGAGAAAGCAAGATGTGGTGCCCGAATGTAGCTCCAAATCTAGTGGTCTGGAGGATTCCACCGAGAGCATGACGGGACTGCGTTAGAAAACAGAGAATAAGTTAACTGTATTCATTACTTAGCAGGGGTTACTTGTTAACCATTTCGTTTGTTATATGCATTCTGTACAAACCAAAAATATATTATGATAGTATTTATAGTATATTTAAGCTTTAGTCTGAGTATAATTACTTACTGCCATGTTTTACTGGTGATTTGATCAGACAAACATTAATTGTGTTTTTTATACAGGACTTTTAAACATGCCCTACGGAGAGAAAAAAATCCTCAAACTAGCCAAGTTGTCAATTTGTAACACAGTCTACGACTTTCTAACTATTACAATAGTCAATGTACATATCAAAATTGGCTTTGTTTTGAATTGCTTTATTGATTATTGTGTTGCTTTTCAAAACCGTAATCGAAGATTCGGGTGTGCATAGCTTTTGCCCTGTCCGTCCGTCTGTCTAGCTGTTTGTCCGAAGAAAAAAAACTTTAACATTACCAATTTCTTTTGATTGGGTAGAGCTACATCTGTATCGCTTCCATATTCCATGTGTATTCCGTATAGCAAGACCTTTCTTAGGGTAACAACATTTTTTACCTTGTCCTTGGAATTTGACCTTATTTTTACCCAACTTAAACATTGGCCATAATTTTTGAACAGTCAATGCTAAGGCTTTCAAATTTCACGAGTACTTGTAATATCAATGGGTATGAATATTTTTTACCTTGATCTTTGCCTTGGCCAACTTTTTAAAATCTTTAACCCTCAAGTTGGACATAACTTTTGAACAGTTAAAATTAGAGCTTTCGTACCTCACAGGTGCATTACATGTGACAAGGCCTTCCTTTTGATACCAATAATTTGACCTTTTTATCGTGACTTAGAATTTGACTTCCTCTTGAAAAAAAATTAACCTTGGCCATAAGTGAGTTTGACCTACTGCTGACAAAACTAACTTAGACTATAGCTTTTGAACAGTTGGTGCAAGGGCTTTACAATTTCAGATGTATATTTCAACTAAATATCTCTTAATTTGACTTTGATCTTAAAGTTGACGCACATTAAAAATAACTTTAACCTTGACCATAACTTCAATTATTTATAATTAAATTCAAATTGGCTTTCATATTTCAGAAGTTCGTTAAGTCCAAGTCCATTCTATGGGTAACGATTTTTTTCATCTTTTGGCTTTGGAATTGGCCTTGCATTTGAGAAACGTTATCCGTTGCAAAAAGCTGTCATACGGGGGCAACAGTGTTCAACAAACACATCTTGTTTTACCATTTAAACCCTCGATCTTCTTCACAGAGTGGAGAAAAGAAACCACAGTTCAGAAATATGTGGTTTTAGCTTGTCAGATATCAGAAGAGTTTATGCTAGTGTAAAGGTCGGTACACATGGTACAATTTTATATTATTATAAAGTATTACCGTTTTAGTTCACCTGAGTAAACCCATGTGACCTATTGCTTCCGTTTCCGTCCGTCGTCGTGCGTCAGCATTTGAAAATTTTCAGCTTGTTTTCTGCTTGTTCAATTACAACCAAATTAGGCATAAAGCATCTATCGGTGAAGGGGAACAATAATTGTGAAATTCAGCCCCTGCCGCCACCCTCCCCCTCCCGGGACCTGAGGGATGGGGGCAAAAAACACTAAAATTAATGCAATCTTTAACAATCTTCTTTACTCCTTGACATCAAGCAGTCAAACTGTTGGCGTGAATGTAATAAACATTGATTCTTCTTCCAGAATTGTGAAATTTAGGGCCAGGGGTTGTAGTGCTAGGATGGGGCTATATAAATTTTACATGCATAGTGAAAGTGCATCAATGGCCCTTGGGTCAGGGGCTCTTGTGTTAGGGTGTGGTCTCTATTGATTATAAAGTCAAAATGCATAAATTCTTTGAAAAATCTTTTTCTCTGCTCCTGGGTATTAAACTAACTAACTACATGCATAGTTATGATTACAGTAGGAAGGGTGCCTCTTCTAAAATTGTGAATTTCATGGCCCCAAGGTCAGGGGTTCTGGTGTTGGTGCGAAGCTATATTTATTATATATTGAAAATACATTAATTCTTTGAAAATCTTCTCCTCTGCTCCGGGGTATGAAGCAGATGAACTACCTCTACAGCTACGGTGAGCAACGGTGCTTTCTGATTTGTGAATTTCAAGGCCCCTGAGTCAGGGATACCATAGAGGGGGGCTCCTCTAGTTATAAACTGAAAATGAATTAATGCTTTGAAATCTGTTCCTTGGTAATAATCAAACATTTATGTGATGAGCAAGGGTACCTTTTCCAAAACTTGTAAAAGTGTGGACCCAGGGTCAGGGTTTCTTGATGGGTTGGGCACTGAGTAATGACTATTGGCTATTGCTGAATATTTTGGGTTAGTTGAAATGCATATTTGTTCCCCTACTCTGCCTATGGGTATTCAGTAACCTAACTAAGCATGCTAAGTGTAAAGTTATGATGAGCACTGGTGCCTCTTTCAAGTTTGTGAATGGCATGGCCTATTCAATGGTTGGAAAGTTGTTACATAACCGATATATTATTATGTTTATTCACCAATCAAGGGCCCACGGGGGGCATGAACAATTATTACAAAATGATAACATTGATTACAATTCTATATTAAGGATAATGTAACATGACTAGTGATTAAGTTTGACATTGAGAAGTGCATCACCACACTGGATCAAAAGCATAGAAACCATAGAATGATAAAAGAAAACACAAATAAATAAAAATTATAGATATAAGGTAAATTAAAAAAAAAAATCTTGTAGTAATGGCAGTACTCTAATATAAAACTAGTGCATCTTGAATACAAAGGGCACCAGGGGATGATACCTCTACACAGCCAGTCTGGCAAACCTGTACCGTAAGTATTGAAGATGGTCATTCAAAAAAAAAAAATCATTTGAGTATTAACAGAAATAGTAATTTCAATTAATAAGTACTTAGCATATAATTATAGACTTGATGCAAACTAATCTCTTGGAGTTAGTTCGATAGATATTTAACATTCTAATCTGAATCTATGCATACCCACATACACAAACATACACTTATCGTTACACATATCCATGCATACAAAAATAATAATTTATATACAAATATATGTATGTATAGTATATATTATAAACATACACTTATTGTTACACATATCCATGCATACAAAAATAATAATTTACACACAAATATATGTATATACATAAACAAATGGTACTATCATGTATAAATGTAAATCTGTGATCTTGAAGGTAGCATACAATTAATGTAAAGAAAAGGTAACTTGGATACAGAGGGCACCAGGGGACGATGCCTCTGCACAGTCGATTATACTGGCAAACCCGTACTCTAAGTATTAAAGACACCCAATCTGACTGATTCTGTACATTTAAGAAGGGAATGGGGGGACACATTAAATTTACAAAAAAAAAATATATATATATATAAATATATATATATATATATATATATATATAATCATATTATATTGAATATATATATATATCATTAGTCATATAATTTATATATACTGTCCAAGTTGTGGAAATTCTTACAGGGATGCACAGGTTACGTGTACCTATAACGCCCATTGGCCTCTTCTTTAGTATAGTACTCCCCTGTACATTTCATAATACAAATTTTATAAGATTGTATATAGACTTGTATGTGCTCTTTTCGCGAAAAAATTCTCTGAAAGCAATTTAAGCAGTGGTTGAATTTTTTGAAATTCAATTGCCTTCATTTTTAGTTGTCTACCAAATTTTTATTTTTGCAATTATTCAAGGTGCTTATGATATTCTTTGCAGTGAGGAATTTTGTGTATATATGTGTTTGTTTTGGGATCCAGGAGCTTCTGTGGGCTTCGCCTCCTGGTCCCCCTCAAGGGCTTCGCCCCGCCCTGGACCCAATAGGGGTCTTACGGCGGCCCACAGACCCCCGACCGTTCTCTGCGTGCAACTTCATTTCCATGCTGGTTACGCGCCTGGTTGTATGAGATTAAAAAAAAATCTTACGATACATTGTATTAAGAGGGTTTGTACATATTATAAGATTTTTTTAGCATATACCAAGTATTATAATACCAGTCTTATCGAGTGAACCGGCCTTTTGGTGCCCTTCGTCCGTCCGTCATCCCATAAAATATTTCTTTTGAAAACGCCACTTATCTTACCAGTTTTTATCCAATGTCAGTAAAACTACACTAAGATACACGAATATAATATACTTGAATACAAAATTCTGTGTATCGCTTTTGATTTCGACAAAGAGTCTTGCCGAAGTTACCATGAATATATATATATATATATATATATATATATATATATATATATATATATATATATATATATATATATATATATATATATATATATATATATATATATATATATATAAAGCACTAAAAATGACCAACGACATGAACAATAAAAATTGTCAAATTTTGTTCGCCCTGTCCCTTCCTCAGGACAAAGAAAAGAGTTAAAAAGTCATAAGAACAAAGGAAAAAGCGAAACAAAGAAACAACTAGCACTACTACTAAACTACTAAACACTATATATTTACATACTTAGTTACATGTTGATTTGGAAATTTTTAAAAATATTAAAGCATGGGAAATAAATGCGTCTCTATGAATATAACAAAGAATAGCGGTCCGGAAAATTATTAAGCTAATTATGATATGTTTTTAGGAGGGATTCTTATCTGCTTTCTTTCTTATATGAATATTCGATTAATATTTGTTTAAACAGTTTACATATACAGCATCTCTTATTTTGAGATTTTACAGTTTCAAAATCTCAAATGCTTAGGGGACTTTAGAAAGAAATAAAGTTTATAATTCGGGATTTTTAATTTTAGAATATCTCAAAAAGCATATGTATTTCCAAACAAACTACGAAATGGGTAGCGATAGACGGTTTGAGTGAAAATTCAGCTAATATGTTATTTAATTATTAAACATTTTAAAAAAATAATGGTCTAGAGACATTTGACACAATTCACACTGATTGCTAAATAAATCATTTTCA